GGAATTATTGACTTCACAACCTTTTGATGATTTCGAGCATGTTTGAAGGTGTGTCAAGATCCTGTAAATACTGGACATCTTCCATAGCATTACAGCAGCTGCGGAGAAACAAACTGTACTCCTGCAATGCCTTGGCATCCTCACTTTTAATTGGTGGCCAAGACACAGCTCTTTCCATGTAAGCAGTCGCCACCTTCTGCTCGTTTCCATAATGCTCTTTAAGCAGCTCTTGTGTACCCTCTGGCAGGATCGATATGCTGGCAACTTCTCACAAGCTCCTTTGCGTGTCCTTTTGTGTACTGCTCAAGAAAATATAATCTCTCTTTTCGGTAGAGCGGACAAGCATTGCTGTTGTACGAGAAGTGTTGTGATTTCGTTTTGTTTTCTCATTATTTCCAGCACATCATTGTTTGATGCTGCATTGTTTTGACATTGTGCACTGTTATACTGTCATGTAGTATTGAAGCCTTGTATGGACTGGGAGCGGTGCTGGGGCTCACTGGGGTGAAGTGCTGTGATTACAGTTCGGCAGTATGCATGAAGTTTGACTTTGCTTGAGTGTATTCTTTTGGTCTAACTGAAAATGTTGGAAAAAACTGTAGCTCGAGCATTGAGCGTGGGATTAGCTGGCTGCGTGAATGACTGCGCTGTAACGTGCGCTGGCTTTATAAGTGGCTGCGCTGTAACGTGCACTGGCTGCGTGAATGGCTGCGCTGTAACGTGCGCTGGCTGCATAAGACTGGGAGTCAGCCTTGTAGACTGTGTATGCTTTTCAACGTACGAGTGCATACCGTCAGAAACTGAGGCTTTAGAACTGGCTCTGCCACATGAGCTTTTGGCTTTAATGACCTTCAACTCAGCCATTTTTTCAGCTATTTCTCGGCCAAGCTGAAACCTTTCCTTTCTTTTTTGCAGTCATTCCTCTTCCTCCTCGATTGCATGCTGTTCCTCAAGTAAATTTTGCCTTGCGGCTAAAGCTGCCAACTCAGCTTCAGCCTTCACAGATGCGCGTGAGATGGAGGATCGCTGAGACCTCTTGGTTCCACTGTTGGAAATGCTATCCTTAGGATGCACTTCATCCTCCATCCACTCTGATGTTTTAGATTGAGAACATTGATTTTGTTGCTGTTCATTGATTTCACTGTTGTGGTTGTTGGTGGTGGCTCCTTCTCGAATTCACTTGTGTTCAAGTTTTCCTTGTTCCATCTGTTCACTTTTTCCATAAATGTCTCTTTAATCTCTGTTATACTGGTAAACCATTCCTTTTGTTTTCCCAGTTCATCCTCTGGAAACAGTGGAAGTAATTCATTGTGCAGAGAAGTGGCCTTTTCATTTAGTGCATTTAGATTTTCCAAGTTTATTTGCATTTGTAGAGCATTTTCCTTTGATTTCATTTGATCCTTAATTTGTGGGATTAATGCTTTGATTTGATTGACAGCTGTTTTTCGTTCATTTTGAAGCCGTTCCATTTTATTTTCAAGGGCTTTGGCCGTGAGTTTGATTTCCCTTTTTTTCCTTTCCATATGAGAGCTTTGCACAGCGCTACCAACGTCACTCATTTCGTTTGACTTTATCTGCATACACACCACACTTCAAACCGCACCGAAACACCATATGAGACCATTGCATTTATTTTCTTGAACCTTTCAACATTGTTGACTCCTGACAACATCAGTGCATATTCACTCCACAAACTATATTTATTCCTCCGCATTACATGTAACGAGCGCCTCCTCCTGCGCATGTGCGTCCTTCACAAACCACTTCATTCATAAAAGTCCGTACAATAAACATTGCGCGCGGACATCCACAGGAACATGAAACAGGTAGGCTTACCTGCGCTCTGATGAATGAATGGGTTGTGTGGCTGTGTTGCACTTAGCTGCTCCTTCGGGCTCGTGCTCGAAGTTTGGATGCGCGATGTATTTTTGGAGACACGCTTTGATGCTCTTCAAGGATTGCCTTTTTTGTTGACAAATATAGCGGCTGCCTGTTGCCTAAAGCCGCGGAGAGGCGAGTTGGGTCCGGTAAAATTGTATGACGCGCTAAATTAGTAAAACAAACGAAGGCTGGATTCAGTTGCGATGACATTGATTAATTAATTAATAATAAACGCAGCGGTCACGGGCTAAAAAATGCGTGGTGATTATACAGAAAAAATTTGTGAATAAACTTAAGCCAGAGAAAATAGCAAAAATAAATCAAACAAACTATAATAGCGGTACACAAAAATTGAGAGGGAGACCTCTCTCCCCTTTCCCTAAGGTCAGCACTAGATCATATACGGAATCGGGACGGAAGCGGAAGTAAATATTACAAATTACCTATTAATGCCTAAATTTAACCAGCTATTCCCATAAAATAACACCAACCCAGCCTTAACCCTAACCTTAACCATCTTACTCAGACGCCTAAAACTTAACCAGTCACCACTTAAGGACTTATTAGTCTAAAACTAATTCGAAAGTACGAGTGTTACTTCCGGTTTCGTCCCGATTCCGTATATGATCTAGTGCCGAACCTTTCCCTGCCCCCGCAGGTGTATGCTCATTCATAATTTCGTGTACCGCGCCCAAACACACATGCACGCCCACGCCTACACACACACACACACACACACACACATGCAGGCCCTCACGCACACGCCCACACTCACGCATACATGCACGCCCACAATACATCACTCCTCCAAACATCCATTCATTCACACAGTGCCCAAACGTGTCTCCTACAGACAGTGTTTTAAAGGAACTTTTATATAAATGTGTTTATGTGCACAAAAAGTTGGACTTTGTACCGTTTTTGGGTATTTTTGTAGAGCATCTTCTGGTCCGGCCCACTTGAGAACAGATTAGGTTGTATTCGGCCCCTGGACCAAAATGAGTTTGACACTCCTGCTCTAACTACTTGGACATCTGAACAGTATGCTTCTTGGTAATGGCCATGTATCTTACTTTTATTTAGCCCTGAGGAGTATTAACAACTATTTACTATTATGAATATTCCTTTTACCTTTATTCCACTTTATACGTTGCCGGGTCGCAGGGAGACACCCAGACTTATATACGCAACCATTTCCTCCCAAGATGTTCCAAGGCCAGCAGAAAGAGCAGAACCTGGACCTGTTTGCATTAATACAATTTCATTTAAAATGTTAGGCTAGCTTTTAGTAGTGACATGCTTGTTTGTCTATAGGGTTCTTAAAGTTAATGAATGTGGTTGGAATCCCATTTCTAACCATTATGTATAATTATATCACTACATTGAGGGAGGGACATGTGATCCTTTTTTAACAGAATCTGCAATATATATTTTTTAAAGTGAAACCTAAATGTCTTCATCAAGGCTCCGCTCCAAATCAAAGCAGATGGGGATTGCACATGGAAATGACCTCTGTAGCTATTATCTGGTGCAGAACATTTCTGCCTTTGAGCTTAATGTTGCTGTGCACAGTCCCTCTCAAAGAAATACTAAAATAAACAGCCTGGACTCACAGAAAGGAAGCTGAGCTAAAGTCACAATTCATACGCAAGAAAACTCAGAAAAAAGTTAATATAAAATGATCACAGAGGAGATAAAGTCAGTCAGTTGTATGCACTGCTAACAGGAGAGTTGTACCTGTCTCACTTTTTCAGGAAGATTCTTTTCAGTTTTCTCGCCATGTTTAGTTCTGACTCTGCGCACCAACAGGAGGCTAGTCCATGTGTTCCTCAGTGTAGGAGCAGGAGGCTGGGACTCCCTGTGCTCCACCTTTGGTCCCCGATCTACTTATGTCCAAGGTCAGTGGTTCTCAAAGAGGGACAGCATATTGTTCTAAAGTTTCACCTTTTTCCACTAGAAATAACAACAACTGACTCTTCTCATCCACATTTGTACACCATTTTCATCCAAATATAAACTTGTATCAGGATGAAATTACTGTGGCCTAAAGCAGGAAAAACATATATAATTGTGTATAAAATGTAAGAGTTAAAGATTTTACTATTACTTCACTACATTGAGAGAAAATGCTTTGAGAGATGGATTTTATTACATAGATTCATTTTTGGGGTTAAATCCAAAGTGAAATACCCCAGATTACAATCTAAGCCTGTGTTGGCCCTTGATCTTTAGTATTTTTAATTCATAGTTTGATTATTCGTAACTTAAATGAATGTCTCTGTGTGGAAAATATGTGTTCATTACATGGGCCTCAGCAGCAGTTTGCAAACCCAAATCAGGGTAACATCCCCATCTACTGGTTTAAGTGGGAATTACAAGTATTACAGTTAAAACAGTGAAGACACAAACAAGATATTCTTTTTTGTGTGTAAACTGTTGATTCTCTGATCTGTGTTGGTGATTTCAATGGTTTTGTTAAATCCTCTGAGATGGCTGCTGATTTAGGGCTATACAAGAATAAATTGGGGGGCGACAGTAGCTCAGTTGGTAGAGCATTGGCCTTAAGGCCAGAAGGTCGTGGGTTCAATTCCCACCTCTACACCTTTTCCACCAACTCCCACTGATGACTGCTGTCGTTGTGTCCTTGGGCAAGACACTTAACCCCACTTTGCCCAAAGCCCCCACTGAAAGATCAAGGCTATGCTCACACTCAAGAGAGCAGCCGTCCTCCTGTGGACTCACCACCTGCAGAGGATCAGTGAGGGGCTGGTGCTATGAGACTTGGGTGGCATCTCTGATTGCCACCCCCCTGACCCAGAAATGGATTAAAGGGTAGAAAATGGATGGATGGATGGAAGAATAAATTGTATTGCAATTTGACTGCAGAGATACAGAGGTGATTTGAAGACATTTGTTTGAAAATACAACTCTATGTGCAATTATTATGATGCCACATACTCCAAATATTAGCATGGATCTCCATTTCTGTTTTTGATTCCAATACCCTTCCATTGAAAACATACAATACGCGAAGTGTCTTGATGAAAAACACAGCACAAAGTTGTTGTTTTTTTTTTTCTTCTGAAATCAACAAACACGATTGGTCACAGATGTAATGTAACTTTTCTCCGGCAGGACTCTAGGGGGCGCACTCTTGACAGTTCCTGCGTTTTGGTGAAACCCGTCCCATCGTGGAGCGCATGTCTCTTCACTCAGGAGACAGTTCTGTGAAAAGTCTCAGCTCTTATCCCACCACTCTGCATAAGGTGCGACTTGACTCCTCTGCTTCTTGTTGAATCAAATACAAGTGAAATCACATCATCAAAACCCCTCTCTTCTATATAAAGACTTCTCACTGACTCTGCTGATGTGAAACTCTCAGAACCACAAATAAAAAGGTGAAGAGGAAGAGTCTCCTCTGAGAACGGAGCAGCCACTTCCTCCATCAGTGAGTTTATGTGAACAGCGAACTTTTAGATCGTATAGATTTAAAGAGTTAAAAATGAAGTGTGCACTGATGTGTGTGTTGGTGCTGATGTCTGCTCACAATGGACTTCTACAGACACCAGACAACTCAGGTAAGATCGTCCATTTAGTTTGTGCACATTTGAAAATGAATAAATGAAAGCACTGGCAGGAGACAAATGTTCATGAAACTTTTGCTGTATCACAATTGTGTGGGGGAGAAGGATTAGTCCAAAGGCAAAGCTCTCAATTATCGCTCAAACTAGTCGTCCCCCTCACCTATGGCCATGAGCTTTGGCAAATGACTCTATGTCCAAACTAACTCCAGAAAGTGGCTGGTAACTCAAACAGGCAGCCCACGGGCCATTTTCAGCCTGCAAAACAGTATTTTGTGGCCTCCTATAGGCTCCTTTTGCACCGCCATTGAGAGTCAGCGCAAGTATGGCATACTGTATTATACATCACCTTTAAGCTAATTTTGTAAAGAAAACAAAAACACTGTTTTATTTATCTTAAACATTTAACCTTGAATGCACTAAGCAATAATTCAAAGTCAACATTATTAAAAAACAAGACTCATTGCTTTTTGTCCAGTTTGTTTCAATCCAAGCTGCTGGACTCATTCTTTTCATAGAAATATGTACAAGATCTATCAAACTCATATTCAATAAAAGCAGTTATTTGGTCAAAACACTTTCATGATTGTAAAAAGTCACAGATATAAACAAAGAACTAATACTTTCCACAAAGGCTTGATTCTTGGTTTTCCTGTTTTTGTCTTCGTTCTACGAGCCTAAACTTTTACTTTCTCTTCTGCTAATATTAAAGGAGGAGAAGATGGAGGAGTTTGTGAAGTAGAAATGTTTTATATTTAATCAGGAGTGAAACTGCGTAGGTAAAGAACAATAGCATGTGAAATGTTAGGGGTTTGATTCTATCTTCTATCTCGGATCTATGGATGTGCATCAATCCATTTGCTCTGATGTTTATACTTTGCACACACACTAACTCGAAATAAACATACCCCTTAATGTGGCCGAGCTTCACCCACACTCAACCTTACTGCGGACACCACAAAAATGGAGTTTGTGACCTCTGCTTTAGAGAGAACAGCAGTTGAGGATTATTAGAAAGATCAACAGTATTATTTTGTCTTTTGCCTTGCAGAGCGTATCGTTCCTCGTATCGTCCTGTCACACCAACAGTACTTTCATTACGCAAATCTGACGGTGACTTGTGGAGGATTCTTCAACAACATGACCAAGTGGAGGGTGGTGCGGAACATTATGAAAGAAACTAAAGTAAACTGTTACAAAAGCACCGAACAATTTGGAGCATGTCACCTCCAAACAGTGTATCCGTCTGACTCTGGAGAATACTGGTGCAAGAGCCAAGACAAAAGGAGTGAGAAAGTCCGAATCACAGTCTCTGGTACGTCTGGGTTTATCATCATTTTCAACATACACTACACTTTTGTGAAAAAACAGACATGGAGCTGCTGAGGTGCAAACCAACAGTTACATCTGCTCATCAACAAAAGTTTATTAGAATAAAAGCTAACGCAGCTCGTGTACTTCTCTAACTGCTCCATGACTGACACAAAACCATGATGAGTTCATGATGAGTTCATGATGAGTTCATGATGAGTTCATGATGAGTTCGGGATGAATTCATGATGAGTTCAGGATGAGTTTTTGATTTGTCTGTTGCTTTGTAGAAGCAAGATGATGAAAAAGCACTTTACATTGAATTTAAAAAAATCAAACTCGTGTTATTTTGCAGTTTTTCTTCAGTTTTCAGATACTTTTCTGTGTTTTTGTATTTATTTATTAATCCAAAATAAAATTAATTTTATTTTGTCCTGCAGAGGCAAATGTAATCCTGCAGAGTCCGGTTGGGTCAGTGGTGGTGGGAGACAACGTTAGTTTGTTTTGCATTACAAAGATCAAACATACAACATTTGACTTCTACAAAGATGGCCTCCCATTAAAGTCAAATGTGAGAAATGGAGAAATGATTCTCCACAACATCTCTGAGTCTGATCAGGGACGATACAAGTGTGGCACGTCTGGTTCTAAAGAGTTCTCTGAGGAAAATCTGCTGCAAGTTAAAGGTAAGAATGACGACATTATCAAAGACACTCACCCACACACAGCCATCACTGCTCTGACACGATCTGCGTTTGTGAGAATCTATATCAGTCAAAACTAGCTTAAAAACAAAATCTGCTATTTTGTATGTGGTTTTGAATTGATAATCCTTTTGAAAGTCAAACGTGTCTGTAAACAGAGCTCAAACTCAACCCATCTAAGAGCCGCTTTAGGGAGCCAGAATGAGGCTCTTTAAATAGTCAAAGCTTCAGTAGCCTGTGACCTGTTCTCAGTTTGTTTTTTATCTGACAAACATAATATCAGTTTGAGTGTGGTACATAACATTATATTTTCCAGCTGTGGTCCTGGAGTGTCCAGATGAGCCTGTGAAGGAAGGAGAGAGCGTGACCCTCTCATGTAGAGACAAGATGGCCGCTTCAAATGTGACATATTTATTCTACAAAGACGACAAAGAGAGGGCAGGAAGTTCCACTGGAGAGTTGACGCTGATGGAAGTGTCCAAGACAGATGAAGGAGTTTACAAATGTAAAAGCTCTGAGCTCAGAGAGTCAGAGGCTCAGTGGCTGGCTGTGGCAGGTAAGACGTTTGCTTTGGTCCTATTACAAATATCATTACAAATATCATTGGTATTATGTTTTAAGTTATATTTATTGGAGGAGATGATGATGGAGATCAAGCCAGAGACTCATGGGGCAAATGTGTGGGCTGAAAATTGTTTACACAAATTAGTAGGAACACAATACATATATTTTCTGGTATTTAACCGAGCATAACCCCAGTTAGTTGGATTTGTAGATTTACTTGTATTTTACCCTTTTTTTTAGCTGAGTGATGCAAGTTATGAATCATGACTCACTCACACACAAACAATATCTGTGTCATCAATATCATTGGACAATGTTGACAAAAAACAATAACTGTTTTTAACTAATATTGCCAGAATCCTAAACATGTATTTTCCTGTCCTCCAGGAGGGAACTCCACTTCTGTCCACAACGCTTCAGGTGGAACTGACTTTAAAAGGTCTTTTCTCATTGCATTAGTTGCTCTGCTGCTGCTGTTACTTTTGGGGTTCATCTCTAGAAAATATAAAGGTATAGTCATGGTTGTTGTTTGAAAATACTACAAAAATGTTTACATCTTTTCTCTCTTTAAATGATCGCAGGTAAATGTGCTCGACAACAAGACTCCGGACATGAAGGTAACAAATGTCCATCATAAACATGTTTATGTCATAAACATTATTTCAGCTTCAGATCGAATGTACTACACCCCCACATACTGTACATGCAAGTACACAACACAACCCACACAATATGTTCACATCCAATAAAGACAAGTTTTCAAAATAGAAGTGTTTTGCCTAAAGCCTGAACATTAAAGAAAACTCCTTTATCCTTTACTACTTTATATCGTTCATCGGCCCTATTCATTGTTTATTGTTTAATTGTTCACTGATGTGGCAATAAAAGATTCTGTTGGTATCAATGAATAGTTTCCGTACTTGTACCTGTAAGTCATTATTTTCAAGCTCATTAGTTCAACTGGAAACTTGTTTTTGAAGTGAACAGTTCTTTCAAATGACAATCTGCGCCAAAGTTTGTGACACTTCCTTTAATACTTTGTGCATGGTGGAAGTGAAACATCTTATAACTGCACTTTCTCAGTCTCACAAGCGCCACAACCTACATTTACACCTGTTTTATGTCTGCGTTCCAGTCGTGGATTCTCAACGAACGATGAGTCTCTATTCTCAGATCAGCAACAACAACTTTGATGCTCAAGACATAAATGGTAAAACTGGTGGTCAGCAAAGTGACTGCAGCACTCTCGTTTCTCTCGTTTCTCTCGTTTCCCCGACCACTAGAGGAAGTAGTTGCACATGTTGACCAATTCCATTATACACGCATGTCTGAAAACAAGACATACCATGAGTAAATATTCTCATCATTATGTTTTAGGGCCATAATGAACGCATGCTCACTTTATTGACCTTTAACTGTTGCCTGGTTACGGGGGCAGCCGTCTCCTCCCCCTCCACACACTCTCCACCTCATCCAGGGGGATCCTGAGGCATTCCCAGGCCAGCTGAGGGCTTCCCCAAGGCCTTCTCTGTGGCTGAAACAATGCTTGAACATTTGGTAAAGGCCTATAGTGAAAAAAAAGGGGTTGAAATGTGTTGTGTTATTAGTGTCCCACATCTTAGAAAATCCCCCAAAAAAAGAACACAAAATACATTGCTTTCTTCAAAGAGTGAACATTGAAGGATGAACCTAAGAATAATCTTCTATTATTTGAACTTTTAGCAGGTGGACAAAGCACTTATGTGCTTTGCGCTTCTGTCGATAAGAAGTAAAAGAGTAAGTGTAACAATATGCAGAGAATGATCAAAATGCATCATAAAATTTTATTAACAAACATATTCATGTTTAAAGCAGAAGCAGAACTGTCAGGATCCAGCGTACGGTGTTGCTAACCAGAAGACAAATGTAAGTAGACAAATAGAAACTATTACAAAAACAATCAGATTTAAGCACATTTTCTCATTTCTATGTTTTTATTTCTTTTTAGAGAAGCAGAGCCCTTGAGCAGTAGGTCGGAGGTGGGAAAGTCTTTTTAGTCTGTGCCTCACTAGAATTGCACTGGAAACAGCCTTAAACTCTTTTATGAAGCAGTAATAACAAATGCAAAGTTTTCTTCTTTTAAAGTAAATTGTTTTTCCAAAAGTTCTAATGGCAATTTAATATGTAAAGTGTCGATACAATGTCTTTATATATAAACATCACACAGCGCTACTTTGATCGACAATATCTTTTGCAATATTTTGGACAATAACACAACCGGTGGCATCTTCATTAATGACATCACTGACCATTTACCCGTTTTCATGATATATGACTTAAACTGTAAAGTAACCTCATCTGCTCAAAATGTACATTACTGTAGAAACATCTCTGAACACTCAATATTGGCTCTACAACATGATCTAGCAACTCAAAATTGGGAATCCATTTACCAAACAACAGATGTAGACACAGCTTACAACTCCTTTCTCCACATATTCACTTCCCTCTATGATAAAAATTGTCCCATCAAATATTCAAAGAAAAAAGACTACACCAATACCCCCTGGGTGACAAAAGGGCTTGCAAATGCTTGCAAAAAGAAAAATTATCTATATAGGAAATTTTTTAGAGTTAGAACTATAGAAAATGAACTGAGGTACAAAAAATACAAAAATAAGTTAACCAGTATACTAAGGACAAGCAAAAAAGACTATTACACAAATTTACTAATTAATAAAAAAAATGATATCAAAGAGATTTGGAAAATATTAAACACCGTGATTGGTCGAAGCTCTAGCCTGCACTACCCAGAGTATTTTGTGGAGAAGGACACCATCATCAGTGATAAAAGGATGATTGCAGAGTGTTTTAATGATTTCTTTGTCAGCATGGGCCCTGAACTTGCAAAAAAAATCCCATCTGACAGTGATCGGGCGAATCATCTAACTGAAGTAAACCAAAGTTCGATGTTCCTTTCTCCCACGGATGAGGAGGAAGTCCTCAGCATCATCAGAAAGTGTAAAAGTAAGACATCATTAGATATTGACGATATAGACATGAGAACTGTAAGGAATATAGCAAATGAAATCATTAAACCACTCACTTTCATCTGTAACTTATCTTTTCAGCTCGGTCACTTTCCATCACAAATGAAAAAAGCAAAAGTCATCCCAATATACAAAACTGGAAACAAACACTGCTTTAACAACTATAGGCCCATCTCCCTCCTGCCACAGTTTTCCAAAATATTAGAAAAACTAGTTCCACAAGGATCGATACTGGGACCCACGCTTTTCCTTATGTACATCAATGAAATATGCAAAATATCAACAGTCATGAAGTTTATACTCTTTGCCGATGACACCACCATCACATGTTCAGGAGACGACTTGGAGCAACTTCTATCCCTTGTAACAATGGAGATGAACAGACTAAAATTATGGTTTGATAATAACAAACTGTCCCTTAACCTAAAAAAGACCAAAATCATGCTTTTTTAGTAATCGCAAAAGTAAAATTCCAGTTAGAATTACAATTGATGACACACCGATTCACAAAGCTCCACAAAACGTATTCTTGGGAGTGATAATAGATGAAGATCTGAGCTGGAAACCTCACATAAGTTACTTGAGGACAAAAGTTGCTAAGTGTGTGGGAATAATGAGGAGAGCATCCGGGACCTGAATCAATTACCATTATGCTCTTATTGTTACTGTATCATTCATTTATAATGTCATATTTAAATACTGTGTGGAATAACTACAAATCTCACATTACAGCCTCTGTTTATCTTGCAAAAGAAGGCTATAAGGATTGTGTCCAAACGTCCACTACAGACATCCTTCCCATTCCTCTGTTCATTCAAAACCAGCAACTGAAACTGCAGGACTTGATTGTCCTAAAAACTGCTCAGATAATGTTCAGGGCGTCTGAAAACTCTCTACCGTACAATATAAGTCATCTTTTCAACGATAGAGATGTCATCATTAATTACAGATTAAGAGGAAACAAACTTTATATATGTACCTAGATTTAGGACGACATTAAAATCTATGTGTATCTCGGTCCGAGGCGTCCATCATTTGGAATGGATTAAAAGAAGAATTAAAAACATGCTCAACTATGACTGCTTTTTAAAAAGAAATTTAAAAGAGACATATTGAAGAAATACATGGAGGACAGAGAGTGATGCCCTGGGCCTGGACAGAGCGGTGGGAGAGAGGTGTGTGGTCAGGGAGTGTTTGGGCCAGTGTCTGTGTGAGTGAGAGAATGAGTGTGCGTCTTGTCTCTGTGTGTCTTGTTTTTTTATTATTATTTTGTATTTTGTATTTGATGCAATGATATAACTGTACAGTGTTAGTGTAATTTGTATTTGCTGTTTTGCTGGAAGTGTGAGGGGGTTGGAAATGTATAAGCGTCTGCTTCACCCAACCCCCTTTTCAAAACTTGACTCTTTTTATTTGATAACTGATATTTGTACTTGTTTTTGTGCAGGTTTTGAAATAAATAAATAAATAAATAAATAAAATATATTGCAAATTACAAGATTTTGAAATGAATAGCATATTGACATGGAAATTTGGCCTCTTGATTCATTGTTCTATTCATTCTTAACATGGCATTTAGTTTAGAGTTGTGTTTGGCAAAATTGCATGTTATATCCTATTTTGACTTGTATTCCACATTTGAGTATGTTAAGTTTCATTTAATGTGTTGTGAAACAGCACCTCCCTCTGGATTGCATTGCATATTGCATATTGCATTGCCACATGGTTTGAGTGCAACTTAATTCTTTTTTTTTTTTTCTTTTTTCCTTTATTTGATTTTCAAGGTAACATACATTCAACAAACAAACAAACAAGAATATGTGTAGAGGCACATATTTTAAGGAATACAGCAAATTGTGCGCGTGTGAGGGTGTGTGTGTGTGGCGTGCGTGCGTGTGTGTGTGTGCGGAACAGTACATTGTGCAAGCAACATTGGGCCTCATTCACGAATAACTTCGTAAGAAACTACTCAACTTTCTTCTCAAGTTGTCCTTAAGTAGATTTCTAAGAAGTCCCCACGTGGGATTCATCAACGCACTCGTAAG